CAAAAAGATACCAGTTTCCAAAAAGATCGGTAACGAAAAACTATACAGTTTATAGCACTTCCCGGAAAATTCTACCCTTGCTTTATATACAATTCTTTAAAATTCGATCAATTATTTCCCGAAAAATTTGAAAAACTTCTGATACTGATTCCCAAAAAAATCGGTAACGAAAAATTATGTACTTTATAGCACTCCCCGGGAAATTCTACCCCTACTTCATGTATAATTTTTTGAGATTCAATCAATTATTTCCCGAAAAATTGGAAAAATTAAAAAAACCGGTTTCCAAAAAGATTGGTAACAAAAACTGTACACATCATGGCGCTCCCCGTAAAATTCTACCCCTACTTCTTTAAGATTCGGTCAATAAATTCCCGAAAAATTGAAAAAATTTCCGTACGGCTTCCAAAAAGATCGGTAACAAAAAATTATACACTTTATAGCACTCCCCGGAAAATTCTGCCCCTGTTTGATCTATAATTCTTTGAGATTCGGTGAATTATTTCCCGAAAAATTAGAAAAATTAAAAAAACCGGTTTCCAAAAAGATCGGTAACAAAAACTATACACATAGTGGCACTCCCCGGAAAATTCTACTCCTATTTCATATACTTTTGGTAAAAATTCGGTTCAGGGGTTTGGGCTGAGCGTTGATGAGTCAGTCAGGACATCTTCTTTATATATATAGATATATATAAATATATATATATATATATATATATATATATATATATACAAACCCCATATATAAACAAGCTTGTAAAGCACGCCACGAACCCATGTGACAACTCGTCTCGCGTGGAAAGTGTATGCGTGAACTATTTCGACATATATATGTTAGTCATTTATGCCTTTTATGCCAATATAGAAGACACATAATGTGCCTTCAATGCATGTGTATAAACAGTACATAAATAGGCAGGGGAGGGGTTCCGCCTACGGCGGAGCCTCTTCCCCCGCATAATAAAACTAAACAAACTCCCAGCGTGATACCTAACTGCTTGATTTATTGATCCACCCTTGCAAAAATGTTAAAAAAGTTGCTAAACTTTGGAGTCGCAAAAAATCCTTTTGGTATATGTCTTTTTTATCTAAAAGAAACCTATTCACAAAGTTTCACCTAAATCGGAGCACGGACATTTTCAGAAGAACAGCCCTATATTTTTTAACATTTTATCTTAAAAAATGGCTTTATCATAGGAGTCGCCAAAATTCCTTTTAAGGGCTTTCATTTTAAGCCAAAACGAAGCTTTTCACAAAGTTTCATCGAAATCGGAGGTCGGCCGTTTTCGGAACTCCACCCCAAAATTGAAAACATACTTAAACTAAAAGACCTATATCTATAAAAATAATTTCATTGTTACTATAGGTATTGTTAAAAGATCTAAGGTAACTCACCAAGTAGTCTAGAGAACGAAAACATCGAAACAAGTCGAACAAAGCAGATATAAAATTATGGTATGATATCTGGTAAAAGTATATTCTGTACTAAGAGATCCGGAGATCTTGTCGATACTACGCACAACAATGATATGATTCGGTATTACAAGAAGGGGCATGTCTTAGGTCAAAGCAGCATTAAAATAAATTATAAAAGTGTAGGTCAAACAAGTAAAAATAAACTAATAAATATTCAATGTATAAACAATAACACGTGATCTGACGAAGACAAAATGTTTATGGACGCATGGTTTACAATTTATTTAAAATAGACACGTATGCATGGTGCATAAACTCTGTATCAGTTTGAGAGTTCAGACTATTTTTTAGTAGCTTAATATGTGACATCTCAGAAACTAGTCGCTTTGCTAAAAATTTAACAAACTTAAGAATTTTATTAAAGTGCAGAAAGATATTCTCCCTATCCAATCAAATAAAAATGTTGTGTATAAAATATCATGTAAAAATTGTGACGCTTCATATGTTGGTCAGACGATGAGGCAATTAAAAACGAGAATTTCTGAACATCGCAACCATATTCACAGAAATGTAACAACTCAGTCTGTCATTACCGAACATAGAATTAATTTCGATCACGAACTTGATTGGGAGAACGTTGAAATCTTAGATAGGGAAAAATTTTTAGCAAAGCGACTAGTTTTTGAGATGTCACATATTAAGCTACAAAAGAATAGTCTCAACTCTCAAACTGATACAGAGTTTATGCACCATGCATACGTGTCTATTTTAAATAAATTGTAAACCATGTCCATAAACTTTTTGTCTTTCGTCAGATCATGTGTTATTGTTTATACATTGAATATTTATTAGTTTATTTTTACTTGTTTGACCTATACTTTTATAATTTATTTTACTGCTGCTTTGACCTAACACATGCTCCTTCTTGTAATACCGAATTATATCATTGTTGTGCGTCGTGTCGACAAGATCTCCGGATCTCTTAGTACAAAATATACTTTTACCAGATGTCATACCATAATTTTATATCTGCTTTGTTCGACTTGTTTCGATGTTTTCGTTCTCTAGACTACTTGGTGAGTTACCTTAGATCTTTTAACAATACCTATAGTAACAATGAAATTATTTTTATAGATATGTATCTTTTAGTTTAAGTATGTTTTCATTTTCGTTTCTGAAATCTCCAATCATAAAACTCACCACTGTGAAACGAAGAACTTTTTAATTTTTTAATATTATACCGCTGAAGATGGTTCAAACTTGATCCAAAACGTACCTACGGATTGATTGATGTAAAACATAAGTAATAAATCAGTGATTCTGATATTACGCACAAAGAACCGCGTCTGACCCTCACAGCCTTTCCCAATTTTATTTTTAATTTCGAGAATCCTTTGACTTAATTTTTATTCAGTATTTTAATGTTAATGCTCAAGTACTGATCTGAATATTTTATGTGTTTAATTAATGAGAATAAGTTAAGAAAGGATATAGTTTTACTCTTACTGTTATATAAAACTATAAGATTATGTTAAATATAAGTAAAAGCAAGAAGGAAGCGTTGAGGTCAGGAGGTCACCGCTAATCTGTTCAATCAGCGAAGTCAAGCAACGTTGGGCGCGATTACTACTTGGATGGGTGACACGACCGCCCTTACAAAATTTAATACTGAGATTAAATACTTAAAAAAATCAGATTTAATACTGTCAGCATTTAATTGGAAAATACTAGTGATAGTGATAAATATTTTTATATTACTACATGTATTAAATCACCTCACCTAGTATTTTATCACTACCACCAGTATTTCCACCAGTATTACTTTTCTGTAAAGGAAGATTCAATGTTGGTAGTTGGTATATTTAAAATTCAGATTATCCAAATAATTTGACTATCTGAATCTGAGTAATTGAATAAATTATCATATGTTGATTGTACGAGCAATTTTCGTTCTCTTTTTGAAAATAATAATTTTATTACAATTCTAGATACATTTTGCTCATATGTATAAAATATTACAATACTTATTGTAGATACAGGTTTTAAGATAAAAACAAAATCCGGATTTTTATTTTCTCCGATTTGACGACACACGAGCACAAAGGGTTATAATTCTCGAAACAACGGGTGACTCAAAAAGTACGCCTCCGATCGCATCGCGCCGAGCATCAAGACGTCTATTTATAAATGCATGTTTTTCGTGCCAATTTAGTATATTTATCCCAGAATTCAACGATCGAGTAACCGCTAGACAATATTTATATGAACGTTTTTCGACTTCGGAAGATTTAATTGTGTCACATATTGTGCCCACGAGGTTTGAGAAAAAGAAATGAATCGTGAAAGATGTGTCAGAAATAGCCGCATTTCTCAAAAGCAACATTGACAAGAGAAAAAAGTGATGTGTCGCTGCCTCCGCGATAAAAATAACGCAAGTTTAGCGGCGTACGTGACACAATTATGTTTCAAAAACCAAATAGCAACACTCAAATATTTGAAGGAAATTTCGCTTTGAACTACGATTTATTTCTATTACAATTAATAGTAATAAAGTATGAAAATCCACGTTAGGACTTTATACAATCTATCATCATTCCTGTTATATGAAAAATTCAACTTCTATTCTTCGAAAAACGTTATCGAGTACACGTCCTTTGTTAATTATTCAAAACGGACCTGAAAATCTTTTCTCGATCGATGATCATATAATTTATTTGTAATATTGAAAATGGTAGGAAAATATTCGATCTCAATATATTTATAAACCCTATTATACATATAAAAAAATAAAATGTAAAACAAAAAGGAGCAAAGAAATAGAAGACTAGCGTCATCTGTTGACGAAACTTACAGTTACTTAGAACTATATTTCTAATTGTAAGATTTGATCACGTGAATCCAGCGCCGGCAATTATTAATACAAAGAAATGTAATTAAATGGTTCATTTAAGAGAATGTGCAGTGCAAAGTTCTATTAATTACTTGATTCGGCAAATTATTAAAAACAAAATAGTCGCGTACTTTGCGTCTCGCAAGAAAAAAAAGACGGGGGACTGACTATAAGTGCAGAAAGTGTAGCTGAAAGGAGATCCAACGTTACATGCGATATCAATGATCTCTGTGAAGATATAGAAAAGTCTGTTCTTTCCATCTGCGGATTCGGCAGCCTCTGTGTATGTATGTACCTTCTTTCCCGTTCCACGGAGCCACGAACGCGTGCTCGGTTCGTTCTCGGTGCAAGAGGTGCAACACGACGAGACGCGACGCGGTAGCCCGGCCGAAAAAAAGAGACAAGTGTGCCGCGTGATCGCCATGCATGAAGAGAAAGTCAGGAAAAGTGGAACAGTGGAGAGTGGAACAGTGGAAGACGCTCCGTGAACGCAGCGTCCCGCCGGGTGCCGCTCGCAGCGGTCGGCCAGCGCGCCAATTAGCGCGCGCGTCGCGACGCGCATGCGTCACCGCGCAGTTGACCTTGACGAGTGCGAATGGCTGCGTCGACGGCAGCAGGCGCCCGCAAACGCTTCGGAAAGAGGCACCGGCGCGGCGAGCGTTTGGGAGGAGGGGGAGCGAGACGACAAGGTGACGACGCGGGGAAGGGGAGGCGCGCAGCGCGCGTTCCGTGTCGCCCATTGTTGTCCTCGTCGCGCGTAATGGCCACCGCGGGCATTCGTTAGCGCGTCGCACGGTACACCATATCGCATCCCGGCCTAGCCCGAGCCACGGATAACGCCGCGAGTCGCGTCCGGTTGCGAGAGCCCGCGTCCGGTTTTTATGCCGTCGCCGCCGCCGCCGCCGCCGTTCGAAGCGCGGACAGAGTCCGAGCGAACGAGCTAGCGAACGAGGAAGCGGGATAGAGCGGGTGAAAGGGAGCGACAGAGAGGAAACGACGTACGCGACGAGGAAGGAGCGGCAGCGGCCGCGCGCTTCGTACTCGCAGTCGCCGCAACCGCCACCGCGCCGCTCTACGCAGCCGACCATGATTTGCGCGGGCCGACGTTGACAAGCGTGTGACTCCGAAAGTGATCATTCGCGCGCGCTCCAAACCGCGTGCCGAAGCGCACGGAGCGCGTGGTTGGGCGAGCCAAGTCGAGCGCCGATCCAAGCCAAGCCAAGGGTCCGGCGCCGAGCCAAGCCGAACCGAGGCGAACCGGACGAGGAGGTGAACGGAACGGAACTGTGCAAGTGAGCGAGCACCGAGCGCGCGCCGCACCGATCGTCGCGATTTTGGATGACGCGGCCCCACGTCGGAAGCCGCCGCCGTCGCCGCCGCCGCCGCCGCCGTGAGTGTGAGGAAGCGTCCATCGAAGCGCTTGGCGAAATCGAACGCCATTGATTTCTCGCGCGGCTTCTACGGCGCGATAAGAGCATCGCGCGCGCAGTGGAAGAGCGCATTCCTCTCGACCCGCTCTCTCACTCGTAGATGCTGTACGTGAGCCGCGTCGTGGGCTACGGCGACGTGCACGCCCGCGCGTACTCGACGTACTCGAGCGCGCGAGGTCTTCGTGGTGCCCGCCGTGCGGAAGTTCGCGCCGCCACCGCCGCCGTCATGGCAACTAGAGGATCATCGGTTACCGCTCGGCAGCCGGAGTATTAACCCCGCGGCTCGTCGGACTATTACACGTGAGTATGTTTATTACGCGTCCGTCCGCCTATTGTCTCGTCTCTTGGCGCGCGCGCGAAATCGTGCTTTTTTTCTTCTTGCTGCGTCCGTCGCGCTTCTGAACGCGTTCCTCTTCACCCTTACCGTGCTCTCGGCCAGGGTGTTCCTGTCGTCGTCGTCGTCGGGAATCTCTTGCCGGTTGCTTCTCGCATACCTCGCACGCTCTTGCTTAAGCCGACAGTTTATAACGACCGCCTATTGATTGTGCAGGGTCAAAGGCAATACATCAATGGCCCTAGAATCAAATGGCAACAACGTGGTGTGGTTGAACACAACCCGTCCTGATCAAATACAGCAGGTATGCGTCGCGCGTGAGGCAACTTAAGACGAGCGAGGGAGCGTGTATGTTTGCGAACATTGACCGAATGCTGATCAATCTCATTTTCAAGTATTCATTCAGTATGTGACTTGTGACTCGTGTTTAATTGTAAGATATTAAAATATCTGTCGTAATATAATTTTTTTAATTGATACATCTCTCTCTCTCTCTCTCTCTCTTGTATCAAAGTGCCTGACAAACATTTCTGATTAACAGAGTCAACCGATCGAGCAGCCATTGAAGTGTTCCATGTTTACTCAAACAGAACAAACTAACAGTTTTACCCAGACGGAACAGAGCAATTCGAGTTACGGAGATCAGAGACAGGTTCGTGTTGGTCATTATTTTGTGATAAATGAAAAAGAAAGAAGATTCATTCAAGTTTTCACTCTTTAATCGTATTAAATGATATTTTTTTTACAGCAGCAACCAGCAATGTTTGACCCACAGCAAATTCAGCAGCAGCAAGCTGCTGCGCAGGGTCAACAGTCGCAGCAGCAGCAGCAGACTCAGCAGATGTACGTCACGCCGGACAAGAAGGAGGATAAGTCTCAGCAGCAGCAACAGACGACTACTACCGAGTTCCCTCCCTCCTTCTACTACAACGTCAACATGTTGCAGAAGGTTCAGACAAATGCGGTGAGCACAATCAGTGCAATCACCGACGACAAAGGTTGTTACCGTTTCGATGTTCAACCTGTCGGTTATAATACGTTGCTAAACCAGATGAGCATTGCCGCCGCTAATGCGACCTTCAAGTGTGACATTTGCGGCCTGGTCTTCGGCCACATGAGCCTGCTCCAACATCATAAGCGGATTCACAACTCGACGCCCAGCAATTTGCAACAACAGCCACAGCAGATTGTGGTGCAAACGCCGACAACAGTGACTGTCGCCACCACCCCGGACAGGCCGTACACCTGTGACGTTTGTGGAGCGTGTTTTGCATTACCGGGAGAATTAAAAAGTCACAAAACAAACATGCATCAAAAACCTAAGGTGCAAATTTGTGAAGATTGTGGCAGTGAGGACCCATGCGAACATCATCCAACTAAAGTTAAAAAGAGTACGTCCATAGCAATTAATTTCAGCTACAGTCAATGTCTATCTCCTGGTGGTGTCATTGATTTTAATAGTGACCACAAAGGAATTTACTTATCTTGCAGCACTAAAAATTTTTGTGATTTTACGATATTAGAAATTATTATACGTTCTTACATGATATTACATACTATTATTCTTATGTAGAACTTATGGTAATAATTGCTGTTTTTATAATTACAGTTCACTATTGATTATTGAATTTCGATTGATATCAGGGCAATTTAGATTGATATGTATCACAAAACTTTTTGGAATGAATTCCAATCAGAATTGTTTAGACCCAGTTTCACAAGTGTCGGTTAACTTTTAATCTTAGATTAACTCACTCTTTGCCTCCTTCTAACGTCCCCCTTAGAAAAAGACGAAGAGTGAGTTAATCTAAGATTAAAAGTTAACCGACACTTGTGAAACTGGTCCTTAGTTATTTCCTAGATTCTTATTGTTTTCTATTTTTAAGGAAAACAGAATAATCCCGATCGAAATTTATTTCGAAAAGTTCCATAATACGTGGCCAGATGTACGAATATTTGCAGATTTTGCTTTAGTTCTAACACATTGTCCTACTGTGGTGTCGCACAGTATACGGATATATGAAACTTATTCAACAAAATAGAGATATGCATTCGTTTTTGCGTAGCTATCAAACCTGGTCATCATCCTGTGAAACGAAGGGGTGTCACCAGTGTCACCAAGTGTCACAAATGCAACGGCACGGGGATTATTTTTATTGGTAAGCATCATTTGCTAGTATTTGATCGCTGATTGGATGTCACTTAATACCATTGATAAGCAGAAGAAAGATGTTGCTGATAAGCGTTTTGAAATCCCAAGTTTACGTTTCAACTTTTATGTTAATATAAACGTCGCTACAAGGGATTATATGTGCACAATACTCTATCCCTATCAGCAACATTTTATTCAGATATTTGGTCATCCCTTTCCCTTCATACCTTTCATTGCTATCATGATCGTACATCGGGTGATATATGGTAGGTAAACACGACGAAAAACTAGATTCCGGAATCAGTTCCCTCGCAAAGTGTGGCGGCTGCAAGGCTACAGGCCGCATCGTCATAGGAAGTAAGTCGGATATAATTATCGTCAACACAGAGTATGGAATCTGTTTTGCGATTAGTATGTCTGAGTAATATCGTGTCTGTCTTAGATGGTGACAGTTCAAATTTATTCTCCGCGATAATTTCGATATTTGCATTTTATTGATGCTTGAGTCAACGACGCGCCGACACTTTTATGATTTATATAAAATATTGAATTTTATTATAGAGAAATATATTGGAATTATAACTTTTCACCGATTATACATAGTTTCATGAATTCTCTGAAACTCGACATTTAAAAGGTCAATTTAAATTAATTAATAACCCTTTTCTAACGTATTTATTAAAAATACTCAACGTGATTTTGAGTAGTTTCAATAAATACATCAAACGTTTATCAATAAATTTAAATCGATATTTTTAAATGTCAGGTTTGATATTGTTTTTATTTAACGTTACTTTATTTTTGCTTGCATGAATTTTTGTAGATGGAATATATATAGATATATATTTCTATTATCTTGTTTTTTTTTTACTTTTTTTGTTCGTTCTATTATTGTTTAATATTTTTGCTATCTCAATTTTTACAAAGTGATTGTGATTATTTTGTTTTGCTGTTATTTTCTTTTCCTTTTTTGTAGAACTGTCGACATCTAAATTTAAGAACAATGGCACAGAATAAAAATCTCCCCTAAGGGACAGTTTTATAAACTTAAATCGCCAAGTTTTAATGTTTTTTGTACATAAGACAAACTCTTGTTAAATTTCCGTTCAGCTGTTTACGATTCTTTCACTTTATTTCGCGATATAGTTCATTGGAGATGATTTCACCATTTTGCATAGAATAAATTACATAATAAAGACAAAACCGCAAAGTTTCATATTGCTTGTGGCGTTCAGATTTTTTTAGTGCACTAACTTTTATAACAACCTGCATGATCAGATTGTTTCATACAATAATCGTTACATTGAATCATCATTCATTTTGTGATTTCATATTCCATATTCCTTTCTTGGATATAAGAATAAAAAGAGCAAACATTAGTATCACGAAGCGAATTCATATCGCATAGATTCGTAGATTCCTCGCGAAACAACTTCGAGCTTATCACTTTTGTAGAACTGGCCCTTTGAGGAAAACTAAAACCTTGTTTATGCTTTCAATTTCAGGTGGCAAGCAAAACAGTCAAAATCAGGCGGAAAAACCATTTCACTGTAACGTTTGCGATGGTACATTTTCTCGATATTCTTCACTTTGGTCTCACAAAAGACTTCATTCGGGAGACAAACCATTCAAATGTGAAGTCTGTGGTTTAGCCTTTGCAAAGGGTAAGTAAACGATTAAATTATATAAAACGCATAAGATAATGGCATATATTCATCTCTACGTATATTGATTAATTGAAGATTATATAAACTTATTTCCCAATGCAAATTTTTATTTCTTTTCCATTAGCTGCCTATCTGAAAAATCATGGAAGAGTTCATACGGGTGAAAAACCATTCAAGTGCAACGTTTGCGGCATGCAGTTTTCGCAGAGCCCGCACTTAAAGAATCACGAGCGAATTCATTCCGGCGAGCGACCCTATCAGTGTGAGGTTTGCGAAAAAACGTTTGCCAGACACTCAACGCTCTGGAATCACAGGAGAATTCACACCGGCGAGAAGCCATATAGATGTAACATCTGCGGTTCCGCCTTCAATCAAGCTACGCATCTCAAGAATCACGCGAAAGTCCATACTGGTGAAAAGCCGCATAGGTAATTTTAACATCCAAAGATACCGGTTATCGAAACGCGTTTATGTTTCCGCATACATGAAATCTTTGTGTTTTTAAGGTGCGATATATGCGAGATTGGCTTTTCCGATCGTTTCGCACTGAAGCGTCACCGTGCGATCCACGAGAAGTACGGTCAGACCGCGCGAAACCAGAATGCGAACAACCCGGCGAACGCACAGCAGGCCAACGCGAGTAGTCAGCAGCAGCAGTCGCAGCAGCAGCAGCAACCGCAGCAGGCACAACAAGGCCAAGTCGTGGTCGTAAATGCGACTACTCCTGTCACCGTCAGCCAAGGGCAAGGCCAAGTTATACTCGACGAGGTCTACAAGTGTCAGGTGGCCTTCCCAGAGCCTAAATGATTCAGCTAGAGAATACCTTTCAGGAGCTGGTAAAGAGGTTAACTTTTATAACCTTTTTTTAAATATTAATCTCGAGAACGGCAAAATCCATGGATATATGATAGAAAGGATATGGATTTTACTCTTGAAAGAGTCAAGTGAATCCTGTAGGAGTGACTAAACGGCGCATCTCTTTTTTCGCGTGTGTGTGTACGGCCACTGGGTGTACGGGATTCTGTGAAGAATATTTAGCGACTGTCGATAAATTGGATTTAGATATGGATAAAGATTTCAAGAAAAGAAACGAAAAAAGAAAAAAAATATATGGACGGAAAGACTCTGCGTGAAGTTGCGCGAGTGAGAAATTTCGTGAAATGTATCCTTGGAAGTTTATTTCATAATATACAATTGGACGATTTACAACCGCCAAGATCAACGAAGTCTTTTTGTGTGAAGTAATAGAGAAATACGTCTACCTTTATATTTTGCCATTCGGAAAAAGTGAAAGAACAATTTAATCGTATCGCGGCATACATTTCGTATATAATAGTTTTCTAAAATAAAACGGAAAATGTAATAATAATCGTATCATTCTTTCTTACATATGTGTAATAATCGTTAATTTGTCCATGAGAACAAAATTGCTAGACGTCTTGCCAGTATTTCATGATTTCATGAATGGCATTGTGCAATAGTTCCGACAAATATTGCGATTAGCCCGATGATAAAGTGTACTTTCGAATGATTGTAACAACGGAGGATTGCGGCGGCATGTGTTTCGGTAATGTAAAGCGCAAGTATAAGGTATCGAGTATTTTTCTCTTTTTTTTTTTTTTTTTTTTAACAAATCGAAAATAGTTGAGAGATGTCCAAACCTCGGCCCTTCCGATTTTTCTCGATATCAGCAGAGGATAGATTGTCAATGTTTAAAATTTATATACCTACAAGGTAGAAAATATCTATTTAATTTCGACCGCATAAATTATTTATCTGACAAATGATGAACGCGTGAGTAAGCATGTAATCGACGAGCAGAGAATTCTGCATAACGCCCGGGAAATTTTGTACTTGCGGATAGTGTGCGGAACGGAACGACATCGCGATTTGTGCGAGCCCTCTTCCGTCCAGTCATTCGAGATCAGAAAGCATCGCATCACTAAGATGATGACAACGATCATGATGAAAGGCGGCGAAGGAGTAGTGCGGCATACCTATATAACTTGCTGGGGCTGCAATAATAATAGCGAATATCGACGGGCAAACTAAACCGTTTTATAATTTTAAGAGGCCGCGAACTATATGAGTATATTATAACTGATGAATAGTTGCTAGTTTGTAACAAGTAGCCGAGCTAGATTATATATATATATATATATACATATAAATATAAATATATATATGTATACATTAATTTTTATATCCCCACTTGTTAAAGCGATCCCGCACCGTCGCTACTTTAAGTATCAATGATCACCAAACGAATAGATTGTACATTGATAGCTCCATACATTCACGATTGGTGACTTGTGTGCTACACAGTATCTTATCTTCGAAGTTATTATTTGGATACCTTCCCGAGAATGTTCTTGCAACTGTTACGCAATTTCAACCGCGCGGATATTTCTTTTTACTGTTATTTCATTATTTTTTTGCATCTTTATTTGTGAACTCGTCATTCGAGCTACTATCGAACAACGTCTCTTCTCTTTCTTTTTTGTATAATTTTAAAAGATTTTATAATGCAAATTGTGCGAAGGAGACAGATATAAACATAAACGGCTTGAGGGTGTCCCAAATAATTCTTTTTACACGAAATTGATCTACTACGGAGTATTACGAGACGATCAGTCTACGTGATTGCCAATAAATTCGACTTTCGCACGGAATCCGGAATTGGGGATATTTCTCTGTTTTACTAATTAACTTGTAAAATAAAGGTACGCAATTACATAATTTTACTTTTATATGATAGCAATACCTGTTACAGTATTTTCGATTAGGCTAGCCTCTTCATGCTGGATTACCTATCCTCGTTTTCGGTTTTTCGGGATTAGAATAGAGCTGTCTAAGCCGTGATTCACCCGCAATTAATTTTATAGCTCGTTTATCACCCCTTCGTGTTGCAACATTGCCGCGTTTGTAACTTTTGCGAAATTGTAGGAAAGATGGCAAATAGTCTTGCTACGTAATGGCTTAGATAAGCTCCAATAAATACGGTTAAAGACGGAGAAACTAGTGGTGATATACGCGCTCGAAGTCGAACTGTCGGGGAGTCACAGATTAGATACACCTAAGTTAAAATATGAATCATAGTCAGCACGTAATGCAGCATCGTAAGTTTTATCACGAAACGGCAATACTTGGTTCTCTCTTTCTGTATTGCGAAAAAAAGAAATTCCGTTTCAAATCGACGCATGAATCCATCTTCTATTTCGATTATGATCACGAGGATGTAAAACAGAATAAAGATATCTTCGATCCTAACACTTAGTACATTCTGCACAGGAGCGACGTTTCTTCTTTTTCTCTTAACGTTTGTTCAGAGAGAACCCATCCTGATAGGTAGTTTTTATCGAAGCGGGAACGTCACACTTCAGTATTCTGTATATTTACTAGAGTAGGCGCAGATTATTCGATTGTGTTTCATTGCAGACAGTATTATTAATTGTCATGCCTTTTTTCGGGGTGGTACATACATACACACCAAACAAACGAACAACGAACATGAAAAAATTTTCAATCAACAAAATAAATTTAATTAGAATCCATTCCGAAAAGTTCCACAATGTTCCCAGGGCACGTATTATGAAACTTTTCGGAATGGATTCCGATCGGAATTGTTCAGTTATTTCTCAGATTTCTATTGTCTCTTCTAGGGAAAACGGAATAATTCCAATCGGAATCTTCGCGCGGTCGAACAATTCGACAAAAATTTGCATTTGCTGTTAAAATTTAAAGAATTCGTTGCTTGTTTGTTCGTTGCGCATACACTCTTACCCGCGGACGATTTATGAACTTTAAAAAAAGTAACGCGAATAGGGTGACAATAAAGCGACTCTTGTACGTTTCACAATCATGTCCTTGTAAGATTAGAAGAAAATGCGCAGTATTGTCGTACAATACACGCTTAGCTGTTAAATTAGACGCAGGGATTTTTTTTTCGAAATATCTCAAATCTCCGTGATTCATCCGATCCGACCAGTAAAAGAAATTATTTTAGTTCGTTCATGTTTATTTTTGTGCGACGGTCGAAAGTTGAATAACATTCAACGATAATTGACGTGCGTGAACGTCTGATATACATATGTTTTATATCATTTTGTCTTATCGACTTTTTAGTATTTTCTCTCAAATAAATTTCGCATGTTTATATATTAATTTTATAAATTTACAAAACTGGGAAATTGTCTACAGTTTTATTGCGTTGTAGAAATTTTGAATATGATCGAACGTTTGTGTACAGAAGCACAGTTATATCTACGTCCACCTGCAGATACAAGATTATGAACTACGATTAAAAATATTTCAAAACCGAATAGGAGGGCTCTAATCGGCGTCGCGGAATAACATGATGTAAAACAAAAAAATATACAAGACTAATAAGAATCACGGCGCGATTGATAGCGGCAATATGAGCGATGTTCTCGACACGATGCGTTTTCAATTAATATTCACGTGAAACCTATTTTTGGGGGAAAAAGTCTCTATTTTGATTACATCGCTAACTCTATTGAAACTGTGATTAGACGGTCAAATTTACGGTAGTAACACGGCTTAAATAAGCGTCCACATCAAAACTTAAGACAAATACTCTTAGAACTGTTCACGAACGAATACTTTGCGTTGACGAGCGCGCGGACGAAACCATACTTTTGTACACTTATACCTGCGTTGAAAAACTCCTAATTAAGGAGTCGAGAAGAATTGTGAAAATCGCAAGATAACCAAAGCGAGGTGTATGAATGTAATTACGAATTGTTAGCGCGACTCGAATCAGTACTTCTAAGTAACTTGTCGAGAATTGCTGCAGCAGATACGGCGCTGCGTCCCAAAATGTGTTATTACTTCATTATCACGTTTAAATATTTTTTTGCAGATCTATTAGTCCGATCCGGTTTTTATTTCGCACGTTCAGATTACGATTGCGACATGGCGGAAATAATCGTGCGAAGAGAGAGAAGCGATTTTGAGCGGTGTGTCTTCCCGCAGCAATTCCATGCTCCGAGATATTTCGTAGGTGAGGAACTCGCAGAGCTTCCGTTTGAATCAAAATCGTCTGGAAGCGTCTTCCTTAATCTCAGTGTACTCTGATTTGCCGAGATTTCGCGATTTCGTTATACATACGCATCCGTGAAACGAAGCCCCATGCCTGAGAGGTCCCGGAAATAGTTTTTCACCGCTATTTCGTCACTATTCTCGTGCATCCGTATATTCCGTATCGAGTGCAATTCATCAAGCGTATCGAACGAACGAGCGGCTCGCCGAGGTACGACTATAATTTTGCACTGTTTAAGGGTCGAGGTTTCGGAACGGTGATTACGAAACCGTATTGTTTCTCCGACAATGTAACTTGCGTTCCCGGAAGAATATCACGTACGGATCCCTGAAATCCCTTCAGATAAACATCCGACCCTCCCAACGTGGAACTCTTAATGGCCTGAAAACGTCAACCGTTTTGCGCTTACTGTAATTTTGTATTTACGCAGAGAAGAGGCGTTAACGCGCATCCGCGCCGAATTTGTATATTTCCATTTGCCGAAGCGTACTATTTTTTTAATTGTAGCATCTTACTGTCCTATATATCCAACTCGATGTAATTAACTATCATTTTGACGCATTCATCATGTACGAATGAAGGAGGTCACACCACGTGCGGATTGATTTGTCACGCTCCTTCGCTGGATTAATTTACGATATATATATATATATATATATATATATAAACGATAGTGGTGATTTTTTTATAATAAAATACGTTCCTAATGAATTATCTGTTCTTTATATGTCGTACAAATAAGCGTAACGATATTCTGTAAAGGCGATATTCTGATACCGAATACTGTGGATGTCGTTACCTGCTGAGCGACAAAATTTAAATTAGGATTAAACGGCCTCTCGTAACGTAAGGAAGACTTAAAAAAAGGGGGAAGAGAAGTTTGCAATTTTTTTAAGCTAATTGACGCATTTATCGCGCGTATACGATGACACGTGTGGGCTTAACTTTTTATTCACTCTACCCGATCGAAGAACATTTTGATAATTGTAAAAAGAAAAGGAAGAGAGGAGAAGAACTGTCGCGATCCGCACATCCTTACAAAGTAAAGTGGAAAGGAAATGTGCTATTAGAATACCATTGCTACGATCCACCCTGTGTCGGTACTTTCTATCGTTAGTTTTACGGGAATGCTGGATACCAACACGTCTTCTTTTTAACCCCCGCCTCCACTCGAATCATTTAATTCGACTATTTTGTAGTAAGACGGCGATGTACGCAAAGGGATGTATCTATAATACGTTACTTTGATGTAAGTTAAAGGTCATCTCGCATTATTATGCTCTATCTCTATATTCCTGTCTCTTTCTTTGACCCACCCCAATCATGAGTTCTCAAAATTCGCAAACGAGAGGAATCGCTTCCTTTGCCATCAATTGTTTCGTTTATCGCGGCCACGAACCGGAACTCGGTGGACTCTTGTTCGCCCGGAATATTGTTGAAAAAAGTTAAAAGGTAATGCAACATTCATTGCGGCTATTCAGTATCAAGTTTTCACGGGCAACCTAAAAAAATGTTTTAGAAAATAGAATAAAAACTCAAATTAATTTTATCAGAATTTTACCAGGTTTTGAAGAAACTCAATCTGGAGTGCCGTCTAGAAAATTAAGACGCTTTTTGGGCGGCTCTTACGCATCTTTTTGATTCCGATTGAAGAACCTCTCGCTCCTCCAAACGATTAAGTGTTTTCCACCTGAAAATAGGCCGAGTAAATTGATTCCGGATAACGGAGAGTCTGCTGCGAGTTACGGCCGTCACCGATAAGCTCGTTTTACTTACTTATATGAGGGGGCAGAAAGGAGGAAAAAGAAGTCGTAAGAAAAGACGTCACTTTTAGATTAGTCTACTGTCAATATACCTAGAACGGTAATTTTGAATGTAACGTGTATCATACTTGATTATCCGCTTAGATAACGTGCAAACCGTACCGAATAAAGAAAACTAGCGCATGATTATATCAGATCTTAGGTGATAACAATAAATGATGTCCGATATGGACATTTTCATTTTTCAAGGCCCTGGGTGACCTTTATTTTCGTCGTGTGGATGCATGCGTGCGTGCATGCGTGCGTGCCAAGAGAGAGAGAGAGAGAGAGAGATATACATATGTGTTATTTTATACATTGATTATGTGGAGAGATAAAACTTTGTAGAATTCCGAAAGGCCACAATAACCATTTGCCAAGCTATCACTTCGTTACCAGATCCATTTTTTATCGAGCTTCCATACATCGTCGACGAAATTACAATTTATTGGTCTTCATACACTTGATTAATTTCCTCATAATTGCATTGAGCGTCTCCAGAGCTATCCAGAAATATTTTCCTTAGTTCCTTGATTGACGTCTCCTTATTAAGAATGTGTTGAAGAAAGTTATATTACTTCTGCAAAATATAGATTTTTTTTTTTTCATTTTTAACACTAACTTCTACAGTATAATCTCCATTAAAAAATGGTGGAAATCTAACTTTTTTCAGAATTTATCTTGTTTAAGTTTAACTTCTTTTCTAGATTTTTGTATCGGCGCATCCTTCGAATTATTTTGTATATGTCATCGCTTTTTGCAACGAATTTTTTTATAACTTCGACGACATACTCTACTAAGTCTTTAATAAAGTGCCAATAACAAGTTCGAACCTAAATACAAGATTTATCATTTAAAAGCAAATACTAACTGATACCCGTTAACAGCTGTTCGCATCTTGCCGATTTAGTAATTACGAGCCTCGGTTCTTCTGACTAATTGAACCGTTCGATTTACGCAAGAGCGATTTCGATCAAACTCCAATTAGTTTATCCGGCAATTAATTAATTCATTATAAAATTATTTACTTGCAGCAAGAATTTTAACTGTACGTTAACAAAATAGTATAGATATATTTATACTTAATAAATTAATCGTCGTTAGTTTTTATGTTTATGTATAATTAGAAACTTCGCTGTAAATAATTTTATCAATTGAGTTAATCGGAGTTTAGTGAAATTATAAGTCATTCTGAAAGAGTGACTTATTATATGTATAATTAGAAAACTATAATTTTATAATTAAAAATTAGAATTTTATGGCTAAAAATCAGAAATATACCTATTAAATTTGCTATAAGCAATTTTGCCAATTATATGATAAGTTAATCGGGATTCGATGGAATTTAAGTCACTCTAAAATTATACACAGCTATAAGAGATTATAATTGGAAATTAAAATTATCTGGTTGAAAATCTATCAGATGAGTGAACTTCTATCGAAAAGTTTGGTAGAAGTCATTCTATGAAGATAACTTCGCGTAAACTCTGATTAACTTAATCAACGACTAATCTTATCAAGTAATATCTGCACTATTTTATTAACATAGATAAAATTATTAATTTCTCGTTTAAGGACAACGAATTATATACAATTAGAAATTTTGTTTTCAACAATTCTATCGGTTGAATTGAGTTAACAATTGAAACATGATCGGCATCGCTCTATATAATCTAAAAGATAACTTATATAGCTATTAGAAATACATAAATAAACATTAGAATTATATAATTAAAAACAGTAATTATGAAGGAGAGGGGCTTCCTCACCGATTTGGCTATACAATTTTGTGTATTTTGGTGCGTAAACGTAGTACATATTCAGTAAAATAAAACTGCATATTTTCCGAAAAAAAATAATAATTTGTTTTTTTATTAACAAAAGAAAATAATAATTTATGATTTTTGTTAACAAAAAATATAAATTATTATTTTCTTTAAAAAATATGCAGTTTTGTTGTACTGAATATGCCATAATATATAAAATTAAATGGTTAAAAAAGATAATTCTATATCCATCGCGACGTGATGGCAAGGCAACCGATTGGCGATTGGTCTCAGACCGTGTGGTCTCAGCCGTCTCAGGCCACTCAGGCCGCAGGCCTCAGGGCCTTGCGTGCGTACATACCGGGTGAGTGTACACACGAAAATGAGCGTCAACAGCAGTCAGCAGCAGGATTCGAACAGCGAGCATATCGTCCAATCGCGACCGAGAACGTCAGGCGGCCACTTTCAAACTGTCGGGTCGCGATTGGTCGTTCCGTTCGCTGATCCGCGTATGTATGTACATAGTCGTGCACCGTCGGCTTGAGACTGTCATGGCGTCATCGCGACCGTCGGTCACGTCGGTGTAATCTCACGCTTCGACGACGAGGGTACACGTTGTGGTGTGTCTCACTTGGAATTTTCAACGTGCTTGGAATTTTCACGATGCCGTTCGCCCGATCGTCGCCGAGGATCGCACCATTGTAAATGGGAACGAGCAGAGCAAAGGTAACCGCGAGATGGAGGCGGAGCTCCTTCGAGAACCGAGACGACTGGTCCCTTGGCGTGTCGCGCGACTTCTCCGATTCGGGCTCGATCTCACGACGCTTCGGCCGAGTTGACAGCCGCAGCCGCGGCTGCGAATCGACAGCGAGCTCCGGCCTCTCCGTCAACAAGACGGTCGCTCCGTCAACAAGAAGCTCGCCGCGTCGCTCCGCGATTTGTTAACCCATCCCGCGATTGACGCCGGATACCTACGCGAGACGGGAATGACGGAAATGACGAGATTCCCGTACCATAAGCACGCGAAAATGACCCTTATCCGCCGCTCGTCGCTCACGGCAGTGAGAACTGAGAACGCTGACAACGCGACTGTCCTCACGTCTCTCCGTGTCTCGAAACCTTGAAAGTTTCACCTGTCGATCGTTACATCGGTCACCGTCGTCACCGATATGACTTGATATATGTGTCGACGACACGTGGCCAAGAAACTCGCAGCACACAATTGCGAAAGATGATGTTTATTTGACATTTAAAAAGTAGAATTAAAATTTTGTAGAGAGAGAGGTCAAAATGTAGTATATTTTACAACTTTCTTTTCATATTGAAATCTTTTTAATCCAGAAATTGATTTATCTTTACAAACACACATAATTAACTCATTCCAAAGATTAAATTCGTTCTAGTTAGTAATTTCCAAATTAGTAATTTGGAAAATCGTTAATTCTGGAGTCGGTGATCACGGACATCTCTAGCAAGAAATTAGAACTATATATTAATAATTTTGCTGGAGGAAGGAAATAAATATTATAGTTAGAAGAGGATGAAAAGTTATGTGCTCGGTTATGTGTATTTTGTGGAAAAGGTAGGGACACCATTAGCCACTATGCAGAGAATTGTGAGTTTACCAAAGATTGGCTTATAAAATTAGGAAGAAATAAAGAAGAAATAATAGATAAAATATGAAATGATGAAATAGATAGGGCTATAAGGAAAAGTATTGAAACAATTGTGGAAGGAGAAAGAAGCTAGAGTAAAGAAAAGTAGGTAGAATTATAAATATTAAGGTTGCGTGGAAGGTATGAGTGAGTTATTTTGTAAATCAGGTCCACTTCTTGGCATAAACTGAAGTTAATAAAGATTGATTAAAATACTAATATAACTTTGCTGCAAGCAGTTCTCGGACGGTTGAATTAATATTCACATATAAATACTAGTACTCCATTAATAGTAATATACTCAAACTTCCGGCGATACACTTCACCTGCTAGATCGCTATTTACGTGATATCTACACTTAATTCAATTCCTGAACGGATAGATCACTTTTTTGTTGTCGTCTATAGGATGTGTCACGGTGGGTCTCCGATATTCCCGGCGATTGATTAAGCGGCACCACACTCGTATAGTTGAAAAATACAGTATTTCCATAAACGACAAAAAACTGAAACCCATGAAAAGACCCAGCAAGCCTCCCGTACTCGCTGTAAATTGAATTTATGATTTCTTTTTCTTTTTAATCATACTACTTTTAATCATACTCGCTTACAGATACTTACACAGAAATTCAATGAATCCGAAGAGCTCGTTTTTTACGTATTTCGTGAATTGGGAGTCCACGAAGAACAGATGAACCACTGCCATGTTTTCCCTACATTAAAAATTGCAAGATTCGAATTGTAAGATGTTGTAAATTACATAAAAGAAAGAAAAAGATATGCGATATTGTGAATTTACTACGAAGGCGCCTGTAAGTAGGCAAGTCGTGGTAAGAGCCGGACATGATGAGAATAACGTACAGGGTGTCCTAATAAATCCTAATTCAACGACAGATCTTTCTTAACCTGCGTTTGATTTTTTTTTAGAGAAAACAAGGAAGTATCGTAATTTGCATCGATTAGCATTGAATTTAAATTGAAATTTTTATGACAATTTGTAAGGATAAAGTCTAATTATACTTAAGTGTTTTGTCGGGACACCGTGTACCCTAGAATCTGAATGTCAACCTGTTGCACCTCTTACACGCGTCAACGAGTATCCGCCGCTATTAAGGTGATTGGGCCATCAGAGCATGTCAAAGAAAAAAATCCGAATTAAATATATGTTATAAAAAAAACCTAAATACGCTTAAATTTGCAATTTTGAGAAGATCTGACGTCTAGTTTTTGAGATATTAAATCTCAAAGTTGGCATTTTTAATAGGTTTTATGGGAAATTGTACCGAAAACATACATTTTTCGAGAAGTTCATTCACTGTCTGTAAAGAAACAAGTTCAAAAAACTGAAAATAACATTATTTGATTCTTCTAGCACTTGTTAAGTATAAGACAAAACGACGTTGACGTGTAATAAGGCCAAAAATTCAATCAAAAGTTGATGAATCGTCGCGTTTCTTGTCGGCCTTTCGATCAGCTGTACGCGACGTGGACATGTGGCAACGCCGCGCCGTGTAGTGTTTCTTTCCACAGCACTATTCTTTTGCAAGCAAATCTCCCGTTATCGAAATTGTTTGTTACCTTCCATTATTTTTGAACATAAACACAATACATAACCTCACTCAAACACATGGCACTGGCATGATAGCTGCCTACAGCGAAGAGATGCAATGTCGCGACATTTCTCTTGTACGAATGTCAACTGAAGTCAAATCTTGAACTGTTTACATTTATCAGTAGATAAATTGATACGTCATCGAATGAAAAGTTACATTATAAAATCAGTAATTATACAAGTGTCTAGAATATATCCATAAAAATGGTTTTTCTTAAAATAAATTTTAGGCCTTATATTGACTCATATGGTACATGGCCCAATCACCTTAAGTTAAAGCTTTTATAATTAGTTTTATTACGTGAAGTAATTTATGTCTTTCTTCATATATCGTTTGTCGATTTGGAAGTTCGGTATCAGTTTGTTTTGCGAGAGCTCTACCCTGTAACTGATCTCGAAGCAGCCTGGCCAGCAATTGCAGCTTGGTCTGCGAGGAACGAAAGTTTGTGAATGACCACGCTGTTTTTGACCTCTCTAGAAAAAGGCATAACTCTGAGAAATAAACTCACATCTTCGTAATGTTGCTCGTCAAATCCTCGTCATAGAGCTTGACTTCCATAGCTCGTCTGGCACGTTTAGCGCATGGTTCGTCTTTCTTGCCGCAAATTGGCGTGTTTGATGATTCTGCAAATAATAGATGGTCTAGTAGATGGTTCTAGTAGATGGACGAGAAAATTAAAATAAATCTCGCCGTATTATGAAAGGTCTGTTTTAAGGATGTATCACGTATACCTTCCCAGCAAAAAGCATAGTAATCTGAGAAATCTAATATATATCGGTTGTATGCATACTTTAACGGTTGACTACTATTGCATATCATAACAAGGACATTAATATTACTGATTTTAGTGATTTTAACCATATTTTTTATAATTACTGGCAGCGTATTGCTTTTGTAAATATACTTAATAGATGTTCAAAACTTTTGGCTGGGAATCTTGCCTGAATCCAATTGCTAGAAACAAAAATTATACATACCTATATAATTTGGATAAAGACAGAAAGTAACGATTAAATATAATCAAAAATATCACGCAATAGTATAAAATATTATTATAAAAGGTAAATAAATACGCTGAATACAAAAATAAAAAGAAAAAATATCGAGCGAACAATACAAGAAGACGTGGCAACACCTCACTGTTGATATTACTTTTAACTGTTGGCTCCTCTGAACGCCCGACCAGTAGTACCCTTTACATCATTAAGAGATGCTGAGAAAAGGGAGGTTAGTAGTGAGATTAAAAAATGTTGAAATGTAATAAAAACCTACTTTTAAGGTATAAAGGCAAATGAGACATCAGAGGCCGTATATAAACATGGGCTGAAAATATCGGAAACCGGCAACAAAAATGTGAAAAACATATATAGTTACCGAGCTCGCAATGCGACGTTGCCGTGTTTTTAGGGTCGAACGCTAAGATCTGTGAGAGTGCTGCAGTTTTTATTTCTTTTCTCAAAAACTAGTCAGTGAATCATCGTGAAATTTATTGAGAATCTGTGTCAATGTATCCTCTATACACGGTAATTTTCTCAAGAATTGTTCTCTATTTTTTTTTTTATATTTGATAACCTGTTAATCTTTCATTAAGAATTCATACGAAATTAAAAAGTTAATAACTTTTAAACGGGTCGATCGCTTTAACACAGGTTTTTGGGATATATAAGTGCACAATCTCTGTAACCTTCATCCCTCTATTTTTACTTAAGCGATATACATCCTTAATTTCTCACCACTTCACCACCGTTAATTAGACAATTTTAGCATACATGTGACAATAGTTTTAACGATGACGTTATTTTTGGCCTCAGGCCTCATTTGTTTGTTCTCAAATTACATCAGAGATCGAGATATTTCTTCTGTAATATTTGAACTTAAACTCGAAAAATTTTTTTCTTTAATGACGTATGGCGTATTTGTTAGATGCACTAAATATTCTTATTTAGGAAATATGATCTAAATAGATCTAATAAATTTATTAAAAGTAAAAGGTTAATGATAATTACTTGGCATGTAGTACTGTACACAGTCGCAGAGCTGCTGCGTGAAATTCGCCTCGCACTCCAGAATGCAGTTTCTCTGCGTGTACGTCCGATAATAACGCAATTTTCTTTCGGCCGTGAAGAAGCACTTCCGCTTCCTTTGCGGTATGGAAATTATTGCTGGGTTGGCGGTCGATATTCGCGGCCGTACGATCACTCGGGTCTCCTCGCCCGGCGTGATCGCGAACGAGAAATCAGCGACTTTCGGTGTCTCCACAGGATTATGGAGCAGCATCTGCAATATTGTGATCATATCGTTTAGTATCGTCATTTTATCGGGGAGTGACGTTACATCATTGTAAAAAGGATTCTATAAGATCAGTCGATGCCTGACAATTCATAAACTTAAATTTTAACAAGAGAGAATGTGTTCGAAAGCGGACCGCGCGCGCGAGCGAGGACACGAACCGCGGATAGGAGGAGACAGTCAAAACGCCGAGTTAACGGACAATCACAGTTTATTTGTCTATTTACACTATTTACAAGAGCTGAATCGCAATTATAACGAAGGAAGAGATCGTGTCGCGAAAGCGTAAGAGCGAAAGTTAAGCGAGCGAAAGAGCGAGCAACTCTAAGTACTAAGCGCGCGAAAGAAAACGGAGCAAGCAACTCGAATTATTGACAGCGGCAACTCGGAACGCAGAGAGCGACTGGCCCCGTTGCCAGGGGCGCGTGTCTCTTTAAGCTCTCGGGGGCTTCTCGCAAATTCGAGACCTTTCGATACACGCCTCTCCGAGAGAAGTCCCCGAGAGATGCGCGATCGACAATTATAAACAGAAAACAGAGGAAACAAAGCGAACAAAGAATGCCTTGTCTCCACTGTTTACTCATTTGATCGTCACGGCGAAAGTCACGGCGATAACGCTCAAGTCTCGGTGCTCGCAATTGCCGTGCTGAAACGCTAATTTGTATTTTCGACTTCGCTATCGTTAGAACCGTTTAAGCAATCTTAAACAGAATGAGAGAGAGAGAGAGAGAGAGACTTGTTGTACATTAACTATTTTCCTAAGAGAATGTTTCCAAAATCGCCCTTTGATAAGCTCTCACCTACGAGAGGGCAAAAAGGAAAATAAAAAGAAGAGTTTTTATTACGTAAGACTCACTTTAAAGCCCGCGCCGGCAGTCGACGAACAATAATACTCATTCATATCAACATCAAGAGCCAAAGTCAAGCCGTAAATCAGTCCAGCACCATAAGGTCTCCATGGTATAACATCCGCTGACATACTCGCATCATATCCCTTTTCAGCATTCCAATCAACGCTCTCGGATGGATACGTTATATTCAGGTCGGGCCAGTCGCGTCTGAAATCCCGTTAGCAGATTTTCAGTCATGGACTATATTTGGCTCGTATTCATCAATTTCACAACTATGCGAGTTTAGCTGATCACACTTCACTCACGCGTTATAGAAGAGATGTTTCTTGGTCACCGAGTTGAAATTACAACAAATGCCCTCGTCGGTCATGGTAGGATTAAAAATCCTTTCGCAATCGGTCTGATTCCCGTGCCAAAGGCAGTAATATAACATGTCTGTGCACGGTTGGGATACCTTGAGCAAAGAAATGAAGAAATAGAATCATTTTCCAACAACGTAATTTAAGATAATTTCAATCTCGTCAACTTTGAAAGACATGACTTTAGTTCTTATAATTATTGTATAATTAATTTTTCTCGGTATATATCAAATGCGTGTACGAAATGAAGCTATGTACATTGATCATAAACCGTAGCATCCTGTCCCAGTCTACAGTCTGTTGCTCGTAAGTTACGTTGCTTTCCGAATTGCAAATATCTTCCATTAATAGCTTATCCAATTCATCGAGCCTAACAAAAAGAAAATCGTGAAAATTTCTTTTTTATATATATTTTTTAATAATTATTTTTGGCGATGGTATTTATTTATTATAATAATTACTGATTATTATAGAGTAATAAGTTAGATTTAATGCACACTTTACCCACGCTCGATCCGTTTTGCCTCCGTCTTTTTCACTTTATTCATGTTGCATATTGTTACAGAGGGAAACGGAAATTCATTAAGGGAAATCGGATCGGGACTCAAAGAAATAATGATGGGAGCTCCGTTCCATTTCTGATAGAGATAACAAATGTAATATATGGCCACTGTTAGCGCGGTAGTGAACGAGATTATCCAAAATATTCTGCAATAAAAGATGCATCTAGTGTTAAAACATTTATGTAAAATTCTGTAAAGCAAATACTTATAACTGATGACTCATTTATTAATTATGCCTTATGTTTTTGGTTTTCGGTTTCGGTTTCGGTCAAAATTAAACAAGATTATTTCGGTCGAACTCTAGATAGAAGTATATAATATATATTTTTTAATATACATAGATAATGTGCATATACATGTATTTTATAATTATTAATTCTATATTACATTGAAAATTGTGTTTTAATAATTCGGTCTTTAACCGACTTTTACCCAACAGTATATTCTGATAGATCATGGCATACTTTCTTTGTAAACTTTTTGAATTTTTGCAATATCTTCAAAATTGAAGAAAATATAGTACACGAAAATGTGCGTGACGTCATAATGTTGTTGCGAAATCTTTTGAAGTTGCCGTCATCAAAGAAACTTTAGAAAGCTATAACTTTCTCAAATTTAGGTTTTTTTTTTTAAATTCAAAAAGTACTAAAAATCGGCTTAGATTCTCTACATTAATTATGGATACCGCTTAATAAAAAAATTTTACTTGAGAACCCAATTGTTGGAAAATTACGATCTCTGTTTTGTGGAACTTGAGACTCGAAAATGCCCAAAATGAAAGAACCCCTTATGCAAATTTTAGAATTTATTAGACAGAGAACTTTATACCTTTCTACGATTGACAATCCTGAGTCACCGACGTAACGCAAACCGTGAAGGGTGCTGTACGAGCAATACTGCTTGGCAAGCTCACTGATCTCTGTGCATCTTTCATGCTTCTTCCCAGTTTTCGATCTAAGAGCAATACTAGTTTGGATAGATGATATATTATTGGCATTTATATATTAATTAAAGGGACCTCTACCTTTCCGTTTTTCCGTTCGCTTGATCATTGTTTTTGTTAGCGGGTGATTCCTTCTTTGCGAACAGATTGTTGTATCTCGATCTCAGGGTGAAATCTTGCGACCGATAAATACCCTACGCATAATTATACGCTTATATCAAGATATGTTTGTTCGTACTACTCATGTTTTATCTTCGATTGGTAGCGCGTCGAGATACGCATTGACACTCTTTTCGCGGCGTTCAACTTCTTCGCGCGGAATTGATTTCAGAGACTTCCCGGGTGTTAATCTTACCTTCGTGTGATCGCGAGACGCGAATCCTTCCAATCGTTGGGGCGGCCTGTAGGGATTCTGCAGGTGCACGGTGTTAACGGAGTACGACGGGATGGCGTCGTTGCTGGTCTTTAGATAATCAAGCGACGCTCTATCGGCGGTGTTGTAATAATTCTCATTGGAATTGCGGTTGTAGGTTCGCGACGGCATCACGGGCGCATTGAATATCTTCATGCGGACGTAATCGGGCGCTCGGTCGACATTCGAGGTAAGATGCGTTAAAATTTGCGCGTCGTTCCACAGGTTGAAGGTCGGCCTCTTCTTCTCTCGCTCCGAAGAATCCTCCATTTCACGATCATTCTCTCTCTTGATTCATTGCGATGTCGTTCAACTCGTTCGATGATTTTATCTCTTAACGCAGGCCCTATTAAATCGCTTAGTTCGGTAAATTTGGAAAAAAAAGAATGTTGCTTGCATTTGCGTTTCTTTCTCCTTTTCTGATTACGTAGATCGACGATCTTTCATCACGCGATCACGCCTTTAACCGAGAATTTTATCGCATAAAAGATTTTAATAATTGACAAAAACATTTCTTTTTTTTCGATTAGCATTAAATCCTACATTAGTATTAATTAATGTTATTTATTGCATAGCAATTTTCCTTATCGTACGAAAGGCGAACGTTTATCGTGAATCTCGTCGGGTAATACTGTCGCCTAATCAGGAAGAAGCTCCTTCTGTCGCGTGACTTTTCCAAACTACCCCCCAAGACGGCCGACAGCTGACTGAAGTGTCACAATAGTGGCGAGTGTCCTTCCAACTTTGGCGATACGACACTCGTAAGCCTCGTAGACCCTTGTGCTCATGTGCGTGTGCGCACTCATGATCTTCCAGATAAAAGAATATTATTGTTATTCTAACATTGTTGTACTAACGAGAGATAAGATCGCAAACAACCGACATAAACGTGGCGATTGCGACTCTAAATTACGTTATTTTACTTCTTGTGGAGGAACATAGAGAGTCAGATTTGACTCTAATGAACAGATTCTTCGATAGATCTTTGAATTTAATTTTTTTTTCTAAAGAAAATTTCTGACGAATCATAAACTGTGGAAAGTACCTATACGTACGGAAAGAACAATTTTCTTGAAGTATTTAAAAATTTAGCTAGATACAGATCTGAAAATAATTTTGGTAAAAGTTTACAATAACTTACACAGCTCGGATTACTTTGACCTTGACATATGTTGTCAAGGACATAATACTGAGTAACTTTTCCTTATAACTTAACCGGCGGTTGCTTTTTATTAAAAAGTTATTAACAAAAAAAAGTTTGGCGACCTCACACCGATTTCAATGACCTTGATATATGTTGTCAAGGTCATGACCCCGAGTGACCTTCAGAAGGTTTTAGCCGTTGCTCATTATTCGTTAAAAAGTTATTAACAAAAAAAGTTTGGAAAATACGTAGGTTAGATGACGCGCTTTACAAGTATTTAACTGTTTAAAGCGCGTCACTAATCTACATAGGTTAGATGACGCGCTTTAACAGTATTTAATTGTTTAAAACGCGTCAACTAACCCATGCGTAAACTATTTCGGGGCTACCGCACCTCCCCCGAAAGCAGGGGGGGGGGTGTGGATGAACCTCCGGTTCGCGTGAAAAGTATATGCGTGAACTATTTCGGGGCTACCGCATTTCCCCCGAAAGCAGGGGCGTGTGGGTGAACCTCGGTTCGCGTGAAAAGTGTATGCGTGAACTATTTTGACATATATATTAGTCATTTATGCCTTCCAATACTCAAAATAGCTGCTATATTTTTCAAACTTTTTTTGTTTATAACTTTTTAATAAGCAGCGACCGCCGACTAAGTTATAAGGAAAAGTTACTCAGTATTATGTCCTTGACAACATATGTCAAGGTCAAAGTAATCCGAGCTGTGTAAGTTATTGTAAACTTTTACCATAATTTTGTTGCACCATCAAAATAATTATGTTATTATGTAGAACACTCAAACTGATGATTGTTAAAATGATTCATCATGATCAAAATTTTTTACAGCATTATCATCATACTTCAACGACCTACTATAATTTTTCTTTACTTCAGCAAAACCGTTCTTTCCATACGGCGACCGCGGCAGAATCGTATCTATCTCGCCATAATGTGCTTACACCACAAGAACCTCTTTGAGTCAGTCGTTATCCGATTATCCCCAGCGCGGCATTTTTATACATTGACGTGGGAAAAGACAATAAACGTCGCGTGAAAGTACAGTTACGTTTGTAAAATTACGGCTGTAAAACGTTTGATAAGCGTGGCTTATCTCTCTGGAATATCTGTTCTCTCATGTGCGGGATATCTCGTTTAACATAAACGAGTACACAAAAGTGGCGTGCCACTTTTTTTCTCAGTAATCGAGTGCACATCCTTTCGATACGATCCGACGCTCTACTTATTGTTAGATCCTTCAAATTGCCCTCGGTATTTACGATCACGAGTCCGTCGTGATGCCGTGATGTGGTATAGATAGAGAAAAGGAGGGATGCATTCGCGGAGAAGAGCACATTTTTCTCAAGGTAACGAGACATCGGACATGAACATTCGATCGCGGAGATAATTTTACCCGACCCCTTCGTTGGCAGAGAGAATTCGACAAAAAGCGCCCAAAATGGCAGGAAAATTTTTTATCCTAAAAATTTGTACCCTGGAGTTTTTGAGGGCCCCTGATTACGAATCTGAACTTAAAATTCGAAAATTCAAAATGGCAAATTTCATCCCAATCAAGTAATTTTTTGCATTTTTATCCGCCATTTTGGATCCGCCATTTTGAATTTGCAAATTTTGAATTCAGATTTGTAATCAGCGACCCCAAAAACCCCCGTGTAAGACTTGGATGCCAAATCGGAGCAAGTTATAGGAAAAAAAAATTGACGCACTATTGCGTCAATGCCACACAGGGCACCGATTAATTTGACGCACTATTGCGTCAATGCCAACGAAGGGATTAAGGTCTGAACACAATAGAAAGGTACAAGCAATAGGAATAGGGAATAACACAGGCAACAAAAATAATCATGTTTCAACTTATGATAAAACTGAATCACTGGTGATTAATCGCGTACTACAGGCAATAGAAAACAGAAATCTAACGCGTCAGAATAGTTATTTGTGTAACAAGTGTCGTAAACTCCGCACCCGAGAATTTTCATCTTTACACACGACTTACACTCCCTATTTTATGTGGCAAGTGCCTGGAAAGTGGTCTATCACGCACGCGTAGCGTGCGTAATGGGGCACTTTCCATGCACGTGTTGCATAAATTTTATTTCTATTGCCTATTTCATATTCCATTGCGTTAATATTACAGTTTTTAGCAGGGATGGGCATTATTCACTAATTTTTTATTTCAATAACAAAAAATTAAAGAAAAAAATGTATTCATAATTCGCCTAATTATTGCCAACTTAATTGTATGTTAAAAACAAAAGTTATAAAATAACTTTTATTTATTATTCAGAATTTGTAGAATAAATAAAAATAATAGTTTTACTCATTATTCGAAATGAATCAAATAACAAGTAAATTTTTATTTTTACGAGTGGCCAAATAACGAATAATTTTTCTTATATATTTTATTATTTAATGGAAAGGGGAATAATGAATAATTTTTTATTCATTATTTAATTAAAAGGCGAATTATGAATACATTTTTATTTATCAATCGCCAATGATGGAATGTCATTCATGTCCATCTCTGCTTACCAGAAAGATAAATTGAAATGTGGTTATTTCTATTGCTTGTCTTATGTCCATTTCTACCAAAGTAGATTAACTTTAACCGCGATTTAACTTACTTTTCATCTTCTTCTAGTTCTTAAAATTAGAGAAAGATAAAAGATAAGTTAAACCAAGATCAAAATTAATCTGCATTGGTAGAAACGGATATTATTCCCTGTTCCTATTGCCTGTACTTTTATATTGTGTTCAGGTTTTTCCTCATTTAAATCGCGCACTGAACGACCAAACGAAAGTTTCCCCCGTTGATCGGGGGCGGAAAGGCCATCATTCTGTTTACGATAACGCGCGCAAGAGAAAGGAAAAAAATGTGCCGTAATGGTGCATCACATTGCTTCGCGCGCGTCATTACAATGTATATGGCGATTTGCAATCGCCGTTACAAATCGCATCGATCGCGTGTCGATGCAAAGCACAGGATATAGATCAATCAGGAAGTGCAAAAGCGCATATTGTCGCGCGATTATGGGCTGTTATGCGTTATATTTTAACCGCAACGTAACGGGGACGGAGCTTTCCTCGCTCTGCGCGATCACTATCCTTATAAGCAAGGGTGACGTTAATTAATAAAAACGTCCGCGTCCGCGAGCAAGCTTATCTCGCGTCACTGCGGTCGTGCGCGTGAATTTCCTTCTATTCTGCGCTGTTTTGCCTTTCGAAAATAGAATTTGTACTGTTAAATTGAATTATTAAATTGATATCATAATGAAATTAATTGCGTTACAAATGATATTATTAAATTAGTTGTAAATTGTGACGTTTTGATTTAATTTAATAATGTATTTATTGATTTAATCATTCAATCGTGTACCATCATGCTTGTTATATGATATTACAAATTACATTATTAAATTGAAATTATTAAATAATCTGTATGCAATGCGTAACTTTAATATCCGAAGAATACGTTAACATTTTTTAATTAAATTAATGACGTCGATCGTCAAAAGCATGGGAGATGTGAACAGTTCGTATCATATAGAGTGTCTCATGACTCGAGATCCATACATTAAGGACGTGTTATTGAAGTCATTTAAAGTTGAAACGAGTTGAAATTATTTAATAAACATATGTCCGTATAAGAACTACAACCATTGAAAGTTGATATAAATATATGAAAAAGGAAAGAAAAAGACATTTAATTTAACTTGTTTATTTACAAACAAGTTAAATAAGTTAAGTTATTTATAAACAAGTTAAATTAAATATCTTTTTTTTTTCTTTTTTCAAATATCTACATCGACTTTCAATGGCTGTAGTTCTGTTAGGAAGCATTTACGGACATATATTTATTAAACAATTTCAATTCTAAATGACTTCAATAACACGTCCTTAATGTATGGACCTCCCTGCAGTAATGGGACACCCTGCAATGTATAATCATTATAACGTAAAACCCAATGCGCCCCGTTCGAACTTTCCCCGTCATCTTTAAAGTCCACAGCCGATCAGTCAGGTCGTTATCGTAAACACAATGATGTTGGCGCAGAGGGTGACAACGCAATAGAAAAGCGTATGGAATGGAAAACCACCGCGGTAGCCTCACGCAATTTTCCATCGTCGTGCATAACAAGACAAGAGTTATAGAGTGGTTACAGACTTGTCTGCGGTGGAAATGTTTCGTGACTGCCCCCTCTGATGGATCGTCGCGTCTCAGCGTAATTACAAGGCAAACATTCGTGTTATCCTTATCGATGTTCAACGGCACGGCATGCGGCACCTTACGCGAGTCGCGCGACCGGCTGACGTTCGTATCTCGAGCGAAATGTCCCCCTCGATGTTTGCCGGGGTGGTCGACGGCGGCAATGATACGCCTGTCTATGAAATTGCGGACGTTTGGCAGCGAAAGCAATTTGCCGGATAGACATCGGTAATCGGACAATTTTTCGTCACACCTTGATTCGACGAAATTGATTTGACGACGCGGAATACATCGATCACGCGCGCCGGAGCGATTAATTAATCTTTTATTCATAGAACTGGTCAATGATAAATGATCAAAACATTTTACGAAAAGAACAGCTGAATAATTCACGTTGATTACGATAATGCAAAACCGTCGAGAGGAATTTTACGGAGGAGTTGAACGGAATATATAACTACTAATTATACGACCTGCGTGCTTTAAATAGGGGGACCTTGCCGCGAGCGGCGGCAAGGTCGGGCTTTTTCCAGATAAATACTCTTTGTACATAACGGGCGATATTAGGTCACCGGCGTTTGTTCTGCAACGACGATGTCATAAGCGACGATAATGATTATACATGAGTGACGAGAGACGACGCGCTTTTTAAATACACACGTGATTCTATCGGTACAATTAACGGCGCGATATTACTCATGGAATTATGATATTCTGATAACAGTCAACTGTGATAGTTTATTACGTTCCTACTTTGACATCGTATAATTAGTAATCATATCGAATTGAATTAGAAAAAGTGTAGTGGATCTAGGCCAGCCTGTAAATAAGGCAAATAATTAACTCGCGACATAAAAAAAATTTAAGTAAAAATTAGTTTTTATTTAAAATTAATTACAGTTTCTTATATTATTTACAATGTACATACATTTATCTCGACGAAATCAAATTGACGCGTAAATCGCAGTTTATTTAATTTTATATTGTTGATTTTTACTTATTAATAAAATGATTCAGTCATTTGTTATAGGCAAAATGTCGTGCAGGACTAGAAAGCGAAAAGAGGATGAGGAGCGAAAAGTTAACGATGGGGAGCAGGATAATTTTTTTACCGACGAGATGAGGGAGGAAATGGAAACGATGTGGGAGGTAATTAAGATTACTCATAA